AGTTTTGGGGTGGGGATCTCAACCGTTTCAAAGTTATAACCCAGGGACTATGTCTCCAAGGGTGGGGCCAGACCCTAGGGCCATCCTGGAAGCAAATGTGCATTCTTCTCTTTATACTCAGCAATTGCATACATGGTTATATGGTTGGGATCTCAACCTTTCCAAGTAATAAACTTTTTGGCCCCACCCCTTAGCCCAGGGGGTCAGCCCTACCATTGTACAATTTTGAATCCCTGCCTCCCAGGAATGCTTCCAACCAAATATGATCGATATCCATGGCATAGTTCTACAGAAGAAGTCATTTATAGCAATATAGCCAAATTCCCCCCTTATGGCCACGCCCTCAGCCCCCTGGGAAGTCAGCCCCACCATTTGTACAATTTTGAATCTCCAGCACCTAGGGATGCTTCCAGTCAAATATGGTTGATATCCATCTCTTAGTTCCAGAAAAGAAGTCGCTTAAAGCAATATAGCCAAATTGCCCCCTTTTTGCCCGCCCCTCAGCCCCCTGGGGGTGGTCAGCCCCACCAGTTGTACAATTTTGAATCCCCACCACCAAGGGATGCTTCAGTCAAATAAAGTTAAATTCCAATCAGGGATTAAGAAGAAGAAGTTGTTTAAAGAAATTGTTGACGGACGGATGACGGCGACGGACGACAAACGCCACAACGGACGACAAACGCCACGGTATGACATAGCTCACCTTGGTCCGACCTTTTAAACTGTTCAGGAAGTGTTACTAGTACTTCTGAAATATTAGTGTCTAGTGCCAGTATCAGATTTGTGGTGGAGGGTCGAAGGCCAGTATTAAATCAAACTGAGGAATTCACAGACAATACAGTGACACTAAACACTCTAAAAGGTTGGCTCTTTGTGATTCCAATCCATTTAGTATGTTCTGACAACATCAACTGTTACAATAATAATCAACATGTTTTATAAGGCAAAGTCTGTAAAATGATTCTAGTTTTGAATGATAAAATAGAGAGTTACCTACCAGAATGAACTACGTGTGATACAGCTGATTAGAAAGTGTCCGCTGGTCCTCCATCAGACACTGCCTTACTCAAGTTGAGTACATAAGTATAAAGAGTCGGGGGGGAGGGGAAACAAATACATAGGAATAGCTACTCAAAGTGAAAGTGTTTAAATTTTATAGATAAAAAGGTGAACTGAGTAAACTGTGTATGAACTAGTGTTGTTTTCAATGAGCCCAGCAGAAAACCTGAGTACCTAAAGCAGGTCTGATAGGTGGCATGAGTAGTTAACCACATTTGATGGACGATGACAAATCACAGCTGTGTGATCATGTCCCAGACATCAGTTCAAACAGTACAGATATTCCCCCCATCCCGGAATGCTCGCATCTTATCCCTTATATCCGATACACACAAAATCCATCCCTGAAGCTAGTTTTTTTTAAATTTTATTACCAGATATTCCTTTCCTTTTCAGCCTCTAAACATAAACTACTTCTTTCTTTCTCTAAAACCCCCACTCTAAAAGCAGATATCCCTAGCCCCTCAGCCTCCAGCCCCTCAACATAGGTACAATATAATTCTATTCTAAAAGCAGATATCCCTTCCCCTCAGCTTCCAGCCCCTCAACATTGGTATAATATAGTTCTACTCTAAAAGCAGATATCTCTAGCCCCTCAGCTTCCAGCCCCTCAACATAGGTACAATATAGTTCTATTCTAAAAGCAGATATCCCTAACTCCTCAGACTCCAGCCCCTCAACATAGGGACAATATAATTCTACTCTAAAAGCAGATATCCCAAGCTCCTCAGCCTTCAGCCCCTCAACATAGGTACAATATATTTCTACTCTAAAAGCAGATATCCCTGGCTCCTCAGCCTTCAGCCCCTCAACATAGGTACAATATAATTCTACTCTAAAAGCAGATATCCCTAGCTCCTCAGCCTTCAGCCCCTCAACATAGGTACAATATAATTCTACTCTAAAAGCAGATATCCCTAACTCCTCAGACTCCAGCCCCTCAACATAGGTACAATAATGTTTTCTTCTAAAAGCAGATATCTCTAGCCCCTCAGCTTCCAGCCCCTCAACATAGGTACAATATAATTCTATTCTAAAAGTAGATATCCCTAGCCCCTCAGCTTCACGCCCCTCAACATAGGTACAATATAATTCTATTCTAAAAGCAGATATCCCTAGCCCCTCAGCCCCTCATCATAGGTACAATATAATCCTACTCTAAAAGTAGATATCCCTAGCCCCTCAGCCCCTCATCATAGGTACAATATAATCCTACTCTAAAAGTAGATATCCCTAGCCCCTCAGCCCCTCATCATAGGTACAATATAATACTACTCTAAAAGAAGATATCCCTAGCCCCTCAGACTCCAGACCCTCAACATAGGTACAATATAATTCTATTCAAAAAGCAAATATCTCTAGTCCTTCAGCTTCCAGCCCCTCAACATAGGTACAATATAATTCAATTCTAAAAGTAGATATCCCTAGCCCCTCAGCCCCTCATCATAGGTACAGTATAATCCTACTCTTAAAGCAGATATCCATAGCCCCTCAGACTCCAGACCCTCAACATAGGTACAATATAATTCTATTCAAAAAGCAAATATCTCTAGTCCTTCAGCTTCCAGCCCCTCAACATAGGTACAATATAATTCTATTCTAAAAGCAGATATCCCTAGCCCCTCAGTATCCAGCCCCTAAACCTTAATACCCCCTAAGCCCCTCAAACTAGGTGCAATAAAATTCTACTCTATTTTTTTTAACCAAATATCCCTAGCCCCTGAACCTCCAGCCCCCCTAACTAGGTACAATATCTATCTCTAAAACCAGATATCTCTAGCCCCTGAACCTCCAGCCCCCCTAACTAGGTACAATATCTATCTCTAAAACCAGATATCTCTACTTTCAGTCTAACACCAGAGATCCTTAGCTCCACAGCCTCCAGCCCCTTAACCTTAGGTAAAATATCTCTATAACCAGATGTCTATAAACTGTCTGGGTCTAGCATTTCGTATAAGTCAATGTACATTATACAGTTTCTCTAAAACAAGACATCTCTAGCCCCTTCTGTCTAATGACTGAAATCCATCATATGAATCCTCTTGGTAGTAAAAAAATATGGTTTAAATTTCATTAAATCAAAAACCATTTGAAATATTCTTAAATATTTAAGGCTACCCATTGATTACACATTTCAAGAATTAAAAATACCATCCTGTTGCTAAGGATTTCTTCAATTTAATTATAATGGTCTACCCAGACCATGATCAAGCCTGTTCATTGTGTTTAGCTACAGTTTATGTTCACAGTATATACATACATCTAGTATCACCAAACCTTCCCAGATCTCTTCTACTGTTACACCACTGATTTTCTCCACAAATACTGTTTTGTATGTTTGGACATAAAGGCAGATATCATGAAATAACAATTTCTAATTTAGCTTAGCAAGACAGGTTTATTATTACAGAGACTGGCCTTGGAATATTACAGTAGACAGCTCACCTGAGGCTAAAGTTGTCTTAATTTTACTATCCTATATAGGATAGCGGAACACCACCAGAGGAAACACTGCCAATACGTCCATAAGTATAGTTACCCTGACACGAACACAAAAATTCGGAACCTTACACATTCAGAGGTAACAATCCTAAAACCACAGAGTTGACAACCCTAACACCATCACTGGGGTAACAATACATTACAAAGGTTACACCCCTAACACTATTATTAGGGTAAAAATCCTTATACTATTACCAGGGTAACGATATTAACACCATCAATTTTCGTACAAAATTATCCAAATTAATCGCGTGTCACTCAATAATAATTACAGATTATTTATAATAAATGAATGTAGATGTATTAACTGCACTTACATCTGCTGTTTAGGTTATTAACCAGCTGGTAATAGTATTAGGATTGTAACCCTAGTCAATTGCTGCCCTGGTAACGGACCTTACCTTCTGTTGCCCCGGATAATGGTGCTTACTTTCTGCTGCCTTGGAAATGGTTCTTACCTTCTGTTGCCTTGGTAATGGAGCTTTCTTTCTATTAATCTGGTAATGGTGCTTACCTTCTGTTGACCTAGTAATGGAGCTTACCTTCTGTTGCCCTGGTACCGGAGCTTACCTTCTACTACCCTCGATAATGGAGCTTACCTTCTGTTGCCCTGGTAATGGTGCTTACCTTCTGTTGCCCTTGTAATGGAGCTTACCTTCTGTTGACCTGGTAATGGAGCTTACCTTCTATTGACCTGGTAATGGAGCTTACCTTCTATTGACCTGGTGATGGAGCTTACCTTCTGTTGACCTGGTAATGGAGCTTAACTTCTGTTGACCTGGTAATGGTGCTTACCTTCTGTTGACCTAGTAATGGACCTTACCTTCTGTTGACCTAGTAATGGAGCTTACCTTCTATTGACCTGGTAATGGAGCTTAACTTCTGTTGACCTGGTAATGGTGCTTACCTTCTGTTGACCTAGTAATGGAGCTTACCTTCTGTTGTCCTGGTAATGGAGCTTTCCTTCTGTTGACCTGGTAATGGTGCTTCCCTTCTGTTGACCTGGTAATGGTTCTTACCTTCTGTTGCCTTGGTAATGGAGCTTTCCTTCTATTGACCTGGTAATTGAGCTTAACTTCTGTTGACCTGGTAATCGAGCTTACCTTCTGTTGCCCTAGTAATGGAGCTTACCTTCGGTTGACCTGGTAATGCTGCTTACCTTCTGTTGACCTTGTAATGGTGCTTACCTTCTATTGACCTGGTAATGGACCTTACCTTCTGCTGCCCTGGTAATGGAGCTTACCTCCTATTGACCTGGTAATTGAGCTTAACTTCTGTTGACCTTGTAATGGTGCTTACCTTCTATTGACCTGGTAATTGAGCTTAACTTCTGTTGACCTGGTAATGGACCTTACCTTCTGTTGCCTTGGTAATGGAGCTTTCCTTCTGTTGACCTAGGAATGGAGCTTACCTTCGGTTGACCTGGTAATGGGGCTTACCTTCTGTTGACCTGGTAATGCAGTATTGACCAGTTTGGCAACCTCCTTGTTCATGGCCTTCATGATGTCCCGGCGTGTAAGTTCCTTAAACTGCACATCACTGGGGGTCCGTCTATGGCCCCTCACATATGCCGTCTGCAAGAAATAAAAGTATCCTTATTATGTACACATCGTCACTTTGTCTCACTTGTTTAAACAAGAAAACAGTATTTTATGTCCACCAATTGCTAATGAGAGTCACTGATGAGTTTTAAATGTTTAATAACATTCTTGGTTATGGCTCTTTTTTTGCCAAATTTACAAGTGTTTTCACTGGTACAAGTCAGATGAAGAATTGAAAAGAAAAATGTCAAACACAAATTATGACCGAACTCTAAAAGAAAAGTCGTCTCCTATGAAAAACAACTGTACTTTTCTGTTGATTTTCAATTTCATTTTTAGACTAAGAGTGATTATTCAGGTTTGCTCAGAGAAGGGCATTGGAAGTGTTATATAGGCTGGTTTGTTAATCTTCACCCCCACCCCCACCTCTATCGTCCCCTTCCCCTACCTGGAGAAAACACTGTCAAGTCCATACGATAATTGAAAATCATTGCCTAAAATTACATGGCAAATATCAAACAATACAGACGAGACTAGTTATGTAAACTTCCTACTTGTTGTTGGAGTTTGTCTAAAGCCTGGTTTGTAATGGACTCCCCTTCCACTGGTAACCTAAACTTCTGATAAAACATCCATTTCTTTATGGGGTCCATTACAGAAAATACCTCCATTGTCCCAGCAGTTTCTTCCCTCAACACATCAACCAAACTAAGTTTCTCTGAGGTTATGTATCAAAACATTAAATAGCAAGTGTGACGGACTGTCTGTGATGTCAAAAGGGTGTGTTTGTTATCATGGCTGTGTGACCTTGCCCTATCTACCGTGGTCAGGGCATCCAGTATTCTTCGAGAATCACCCCTCTTATACATCATTTGTGTTTTACAAGCCTGCCCTCCCATTTGCCGACTGTCACAAAAATGTCCCCACATGAATAATGCTACTACTGGTTTTATTACCTGCACAAGTTGGTAGACAATCCTGTCACAATGTGTCAGACATGTATAATGTATATTCAAATTCTTGTGGTTAAATCATCTTAAAATAAAAACGACTAGATAAAAACCTGACAAAAACAGATATCTTTGTTTTACTTAAATAAATAACTGAATTATTTCTTCAACAACACAAAAAAAATTGTAACAGTGCATTATCATAAATTGAAACAGACTTGTTATAGATAGAGAATAAGAGCCCGTTAATTCAGGTATAGAGCAGTGTCTTGGTAAGTTACAAGCGGTAACCATAGGCAGTCTTGGTCATACTATCAGTAAACAGGGACTGTATTGGTAGTCCAGTGGTAAACAGGGACTGTTTAAGTAGTCCAGTGGTAAACAGGGTCTGTATTGGTAGTCCAGTGGTAAACAGGGACTGTATTGGTAGTCCAGTGGTAAACATTGACTTTCTCGGTAATACAGTGGTAAACAGGGACTTTCTGTGTAGTCCAGTGGTAAACAGGGATTGTATTGGTAATGGTAAGCAGGGACTGTATAAGTAGGCCAGTGGTAAACATGGACTTTCTCGGTAATAGAGTGGTAAACAGGGACTGAATTGGTAGTCCAGTGGTTAACAGGGACTGTATTGGTAGCCAAGTGGTAAACAGGGACTTTCTCGGTAATGCAGTGGTAAACAGGGACGTTCTCGGTAATACAGTGGAAAACAGGGACTGTATTGGTAATAGTAAACAGGGACTGTATTGGTAATGGCAAACAGGGACTGTATTGGTAGGCCAGTGGTAAACATGGACTTTCTCGGTAATAGAGTGGTAAACAGGGACTTTATTGGTATTCCAGTGGTAAACTTGGACTTTCTCGGCAATACAGTGGTAAACAGGTACTTTCTCAGTAAAACAGTGGTAAACAGGGACTGTATTGGTAGTCCAGTGGTAAACTTGGACTTTCTCGGTAATACAGTGGTAAACAGGGACTGTTTTGGTAGTCCAGTGGTAAACAGGGACTGTATTGGTAGTCCAGTGGTAAACAGGGACTGTATTGGTAGTCCAGTGGTAAACGGACTGTATTGGTAGTCCAGTGGTAAACAGGGACTTTCTCGGTAATACAGTGGGAAACAGGTACTGTATTGGTAGTCCAGTGGTAAACAGGGACTGTATTGGTAGTCCAGTGTTAAACAGGGACTGTATTGGTAGTCCAGTGGTAAACAGGGACTGTATTGGTAGTCCAGTGGTAAACAGGGACGTTCTTGGTTATACAGTGGTAAACAGGGACTGTCTTGGTAGTACCAGTGGTTAAGAGGTACTGCCTTGGTAGTACCAGTGGTTAAGAGGTACTGCCTTGGTAGTACCAGCTGTAAACAGATACTGTGATACATTCACCATGAGAAGACACTGTTTGCATTCCAAAATGTGATCACTGCAACCCTCTGTTGGATGTTTGAGTTTACCCTCAAGTAGCAAAATATAATTTTTTGGAGCATATGTCAGCCTCTGTTTAGAGTTTGTATGTATATATATATATACAAGAGAAACACTGTGGCCCCAGTTTCAGAAATATCTAGGTTTCCATAGCATATCATTTTAGAATCTTTGCAAAGACGTCATGTAAATACCACCCTTTTATTTGTTCAATTATGTGCACATTGCTTGTTAAATGTACGAAAGTGATTGCAAGCCTTTGTTGTTTGTTTTCACAATTATAACCATTACTATTATCCATATGTTGTAAAGCGCCTTAGAGTAATTTTACAAATTATATAGGGCACTATATAAATGCTGTATATTATTTATATTATTATTTATTATATCACAGCCATATTGTCTTACATTTAGTATGTAGGTACATCATGAGGAAGCAATTTTAGCTCATCTGAATGAAAATATATATACCTCTATATGACCTTTTTCCTAGTCTTTGTGTACCTAAATACATAAATAAGGTTCATAAATGGTCAACACAACCTCTATTTTGTATAATAATAAATGTTTCATAGAAACATGTTTGATGCCCCAAGTTTGAGTAAATTTAGTAAGTCATGTAAAATGCTAAGGTCATTATTTACTTCTCTTGAGGTAATATGATAAATTGGTGTTATCTCAAGAAAACAGTCTGTTTGCCTTCAGCTCAGGTACTATCCCTTAAAAACACTGAAAAATTATGGTGCTCCAAATTAAAGGCAACATACTCTTGCTTGACTAAGTGTATTTTGTGTAGGATAAGTAGGTTGTAGGTTGTAAATTAAAGGCAACATACTCTAGCTTTACTAAGTGTATTTTTTGTTGGATGAGTAGGTTGTAGGATGTAAATTGAAGGCAACATACTCTAGCTTGACTAAGTGTATTTTGTGTAGGATGAGTAGGTTGTAGGTTGTAAGTTGGAGGCAACATACTCTAGCTTGACTAAGTGTATTTTGTGTAGGATGAGTAGGTTGTAGGTTGTAAGTTGGAGGCAACATACTCTAGCTTGACTAAGTGTATTTTGTGTAGGATGAGTAGGTTGTAGGTTGTAAATTGAAGGCAACATACTCTTGCTTGACTAAGTGTATTTTGTGTAGGATGAGTAGGTTGTAGGTTGTAAGTTGGAGGCAACATACTCTAGCTTGACTAAGTGCATTTTGTGTAGGGTGAGTAGGTTGTAAATTGAAGGCAACATACTCTTGCTTGATTAAGTGTATTTTGTGTAGGATGAGTAGGTTGTAGGTTGTAAGTTGGAGGCAACATACTCTAGCTTGACTAAGTGTATTTTGTGTTGGATGAGTAGGTTGTAGGATGTAAATTAAAGGCAACATACTCTAGCTTGATTAAGTGTATTTTGTGTTGGATGAGTGAGGTTGTAGGATGTAAATTAAAGGCAACATACTCTAGCTTGATTAAGTGTATTTTGTGTTGGATGAGTGAGGTTGAAGGTTGTAAATTAAAGGCAACATACTCTAGCTTTACTAAGTGTATTTTGTGTTGGATGAGTAGGTTGTAGGATGTAAATTAAAGGCAACATACTCTAGCTTGATTAAGTGTATTTTGTGTTGGATGAGTGAGGTTGAAGGTTGTAAATTAAAGGCAACATACTCTAGCTTTACTAAGTGTATTTTGTGTTGGATGAGTGAGGTTGTAGGTTGTAAATTGAAGGCAACATACTCTAGCTTGACTAAGTGTATTTTGTGTAGGGTGAGTAGGTTGTAGGTTGTAAGTTGAAGGCAGCATACATTTGCTTGACTAAGTGTATTTTGTGTAGGGTGAGTAGGTTGTAGGTTGTAAATTAAAGGCAACATACTCTAGCTTGACTAAGTGTATTTTGTGTTGGATGAGTAGGTTGTAGGATGTAAATTAAAGGCAACATACTCTAGCTTGACTAAGTGTATTTTGTGTTGGATGAGTGAGGTTGTAGGTTGTAAATTGGAGGCAACATACTCTAGCTTGACTAAGTGTATTTTGTGTAGGGTGAGTAGGTTGTAGGTTGTAAGTTGAAGGCAGCATACATTTGCTTGACTAAGTGTATTTTGTGTAGGGTGAGTAGGTTGTAGGTTGTAAACTGAAGGCAACGTGCTCTAGCTTGACTAAGTGTATTTTGTGTAGGATCAGTAGGTTGTAGGTTGTAAATTGAAGGCAACATACTCTAGCTTGACTAAGTATATTTTGTGTAGGATGAGTAGGTTGTAGGTTGTAAACTGAAGGCAACATACTCTAGCTTGACTAAGTGTATTTTGTGTAGGATGAGTAGGTTGTAGGTTGTAAGTTGAAGGCAGCATACATTTGCTTGACTAAGTGTATTTTTGTAGGATGTGTAGGTTATAAATTAAAGGCAACATACTCTTGCTTGACTAAGTGTATTTTGTGTAGGATGAGTAAGTTGTAGGTTATAAATTAAAGGCAACATACTCTTGCTTGACTAAGTGTATTTTTGTAGGATGTGTAGGTTGTAGGTAGGTTTTACCCAAAAGGCACAGTCACAGTTTCCCCTTCTATAACTATATGGTATCTGGTATTCTCATACAGATAAGAAGAATTCCTTTGAAATAATTTCTGGATTTTTTTTCCAGTTAGAAAATAGATTAAATGTCTTTGAAGATATTATACAATATGTTTT